TGTCTCAGCTATAACATACTCAAAGTTGGAAGACGATCGACCAAGGATAAGCGAGATACGCTCAAATGCGTATTTTCAAAAATGAAGTCATAGATATAATTCACTTTCTTTGAATTCAGATGCCAATATGATGACGTCACAATGTCCGATCAGCCATTATGAAGTCAAAAATCGTATCTACAACTCATGCGCTTTCAGAATATGTAATAAAAATTAGGGGTCCACCTTTTAACCTAAGGAGCTATAACTGATTAAAAATAGGTCTGATTTTAGCATAATTTCACTGTATAGCGGCACAAATACGCACAAAGATACCTATGTTTGATGCGCACGTACGGCATTGCTATTGGCCAAAAGATAACCGAAAAGAATGCAAATTTGTGAATACAATGTCAGGAACCCAAAACGTGTAAAATAACGTAATTTCTAGCTTTCGTACGTGCTGCGCACATAAAAATGCACGCGCGTAGTGGAAAATTTCAAAAAAATTTGAAATGCTCAAAATGGCCAAAAACGTTTTCTAATTTAGTCAAAAAGTGATTTTAAACATTTTGAAAGTTTGACGCACGCGTGCGCGCGCGTTAATAAGCGCACGCGTAAAATTAGGGTACTGTACATTCAACATTAACCCAAAGTTAATGCTCACTTAATACAATTTCGAAATGGCAATTGGTTAGGCTGATATGATCGATAATGTAAAAACGCAAAATTGCGCGTAGATGACGTCACGCATGACTGAGCACGTTAAAAAGCTTACCATGACTATTCCAGACCAAGCCAAATGTCCGTTGACAGCGATTGTGCGGTAAGTCGTGGCAGTTTTTGAGATATCGTGCGAACAGAAAAGGGGAGAAAGAAAGAAGAATAAAAAAAAGATGAAGATGATGATGATCCTGACAATAACAATAGGTGATCCGCACTAGTTGCCGATCACCAAAAAGATGATGATGATCCTGACAATAACAAGAGGTGATCCGCTAGTGTAGTGGATCACCAATAACTAAACAAAAGACTTCTAACACATGGAGTTATGAATATGATGATGGTGGGGTTGGAAGTCTTTTGTTTAGTTATTATGGTTACTGTTGTTATTACCGTTATTAGTATATTGTTATTTTTGATGTTATTATTCTAGTATCACCCAGTGCAATGATATGGTGGTACTCCAAACAAGAAAATATACTTACATACTCAGCTGAATCAAAAATAACATTTCTCACTCAATTTCAGATACAACTACCATTTCTTTGCCTGTTTCTACCGATGAACCTTTGTCAGATGTATCAACTACTGTTCCATTGCTAATTTCTACACCTAAATCAAGTTCCACTACCATTTCATCGAAAAGCACTTCTACAGTTGAGCATTTGTCAGTGGCCACTAAGAGTATGTCTCCTCTGCCTCCAAGTATCAATTTGAACATATAAATTTGTGTATTTAAAATATGTTTACCCATCACTTTACAGCGAAAATGATAAGAACACTGGAAGTGTTTTATTATTTTTCTTATGTTGTTATGCTGTTTCAAATATTAAGGCCAACACTTTGACATTGTAGGGGTCTTTGTATTACCATAGATGACACCCCCACCATCATCATATTCAAACTCTATGTGTTAGAAGTCTTTTGTTTAGTTATTATGGTTACTGTTGTTATTACCGTTATTGATATATTGTTATTTTTAATGTTATTATTCTAGTATCACCCATTGCAATGATATGGTGGTACTCCAAACAAGAAAATATAATTACATACTCAGCTGAATCAAAAATAGCGTTTCTCACTCAATGTCAGGTACAACTACCATTTCTTTGCCTGTTTCTACCGATGAACCTTTGTCAGATGTATCAACTACTGTTCCATTGCTAATTTCTACACCTAAATCACGTTCCACTACCATTTCATCGAAAAGCACTTCTACAGATGAGCATTTGTCAGTGGCCACTAAAAGTATGTCTTCTCTGCCTCCAAGTATCAATTTGAACATAGACATTTGTGTATTTAAAAAATGTTTACCCATCATTTTACAGTGAAAAATGATAAAAACACTGGAAGTGTTTTCTTTTTTTTATTATGTTTATTATTATTATTGATGTATTGTTATTTTCAATCTATTATTCCAATATTACCCAATTATGTCATATGTTGCTCCAGAGATAAAGATATACTTACATATATACTTGAGACTAAATTCAAAAAAACATTTTTCACTCATTTTCAGACACTCCTCTGCCTCCTGTTTCATCTCCAAACAGTTTGTCGCCACATTCTACACTGTTGAGTTCTTCCACTCAAGACCACCCAGTAACAAGAATGACATCAGAGACATGTAACCTTAAAGTACAACAGACCTCTAGTAAGGGAGTTTTCTGCTGTAGTTCAGATTTTAATAATTGAAAATACTTAAATTTTAAAATTATAATAATTCAGAGTTATACTGTATATTATTACCTAAATATGCTATTACAATTATGAGTATTGAAGGTTTTGTTTTTGTTGTGAGAAAAATATATTTGTGTTTCAACAGGACCCTGTTAGATGGAAATTATCTTCACCACCAAACTGTAGCATAAATCAATCAATCTTTATTCACTTGTAAATAATTAAATCCTGAAAAATTGTAACTACAAAGTTTCAAATCTGATTTTGCAAAGCTTAGGTATGAATGATGCTCAATGTACATTAGACGTTTACATAATTTATTAACTACAATACAGTTTCAGCATTGCCTTCTATGAAATACCTGAAGTACTTTCTTAAATAAATAAAAATGAATACATTGAGTGACTAGTGGTGATGGTGATGATCTTGGAGATAATCTTGGTCATTTTGATGATGTTGATGATGATAATGACGGCAGTAATGGTGTTGATAATGAATGATGGAAAAACAACACCTTTATGGTCCAGCAGTCACATGTGTTGTCATTCATGGGAGATGTTCTGCATCTTTGTCTTCAGTTACATACAACTAGTTAGTGTGATTTACAGATATTTTTAAAAAGAGCACAGAACTCATTTTGGTTAAAGATTGTGCAATACACTCCAAAATGCCTCATTAATTCAGACCTCCCGGGTTCCCAGAAATTTGCGGGTTTCCCAGATTTTTATGGAGGATCCCCTCTTCCCAGAATTTTTACAGTTATTCCCAGAAAATAGAGAATTTCCATTTTGAATTTTAAAATGGCTCCTAAATGTACATTTTCAGAAATTATAAACAACATCTTTCTCTTCCAAATAATTAGGTTACTTATATTTAAATAACCTATTGCTTTGTACCACCACCTAAATTCTATAAAACCTGAAACGGACTCATTTTGCCTATTGCTTGCACTTACAAAAGGCGGACTAACACTTCATTAAATGACAAATTACCCAGAAATTTCACTTCACCAACTTGGGACCTCCGCTAATTATAATTTGCATAATTCTTTCTCAGCTTCTTGTGATAATGGTTATGCAGAAACCTGTTCTGACAACAAGATGATGATCTCGGTGAAAGATTGGGTTAAAAAAGAATGCACCTGGGAAATCAAAGCCGATAAACAACATGGAATTTCATTAAAGGTTAAAGGTAGGATCTGTAATTTGTTGTAGAGTCCAAGATGTCTTTTATGTGTCTCCGGTTTCCTACTTAACATTTCTATATATACAGTATGACAACAATTTTGTCATTTTTTTCTAATCTTTTGAAGATTTCATTTATAACTTTATTGACTTTTTCTTTCAGTTGCTATCCTTCATATTTAAGTTAATTTTTCAAAAGTCACTATACCGTAAAACCTCAAATTGAAGCCGTGGGCTCCTTTTTTTCTTTTTTTTTTTGTGAACTTCGGATGGGCGTCTTTTCGAGATGGGCTTCATTTCGAGATGGGCTTCTTTTCGAGACTACTTTTGCAAAGCAAAGAGGGGGGCTTCTTTTCAAAATGAATGCTGTAAATTTTGTGAATTTGTACTATACAAACAATAAATAAAGCTACTGTAACATCAATACATCAATCTGTATCATGGATTGTATTTAACTGGTGTTAAATCACCTAACCTACTGTATAAACCAAGCTTGTATTTAATTTATTTTGTTTTCAGAAATTCATGTACAGTGTATATACTGTACTATCTCGAAAAGAAGCCTATGCTATCCTGAAACGAAACCCATTCTAGGCGGCTATTGTGTACTAATGGTGACCTGACCCAAACCTCTTTAGTTTTATGATAAGCACAGCGATATTCTTGCACACCAATGCTACTCTGTACACATTGCAAAGGCACACACGTGTGACCTCCTTGACAAATTATCCAAGAATTTTCCTTTCCACATGGAATCCTGACTAAAAGCTTTGAAGTCAAATTCATATACTCACTCAAATTTTCCCAATATTTGTTTGTACTGTAGCCAGCTGCTTGTCACGTGTCTTGTATTATTTGATGCCTTGCTTTGAATAAATGTCCCCCTCAAATAAATGCTCCCCTCCCCGCCCATCCAGCACCGCATATGGAGTAGATGTCTCCATGGAATAAACGCCCTAGGGCGTTTGTTTTTTTCTTGAATAGATGTCCCTCTAAATGATGTTAAACAGTACTAATGGAAAAAACAACATTCCAAAACACATTCTATTATTGTTCTACCCTAGTAGAATTAATTTTTTTTCTAACCTGGTTAGGATAATATGTCTTTAACATCATGCAATAACACATTATAATGTGTAATTATGTATTGTAGATTGTACATTTTACAGTAAAGTTAATGGGTATACATTTGAGTATAATTTTATGCCAAAAAAGAAATGCCTCCCTTGAATAAACACCTCCCTCGAATAGATTCCCCCTGGAAAACCCTTCAACAATAAACACTGTGGGGCGTGTATTCGAAAAAATATGGCAAAGCGTATGACATAACAAAGCAAGTAGCTTAGAGTTATGCTACAAATATATAGCAGGCTTTACTGTAACATAGCTCCTTGCTACATACAGTTTATTACACAAGTACATGATTATGCCTCAGGCATAACAGTGTTTCTTGCTACAAATATGTGTCCACATCTTTCACAACAAGTTCCAAAATGTTGTAAAATAGTTGAACGAAAATCTTTCAGTCTCCACCAATAAATCATAGGATTGGCCATTGAATTTATGATTCCAAATATAAGGAAAGTGTTTAACACAACATCGTTATTTTGTCCAATAAGGATATAAAAAATAAGGTATGTTGCCATTGGCGACCAGCAGATGACAAATGCTCCAATAATGATCAAGAATGTTTTCAGAAGTTTCTTAGATCGTTTGAGTTCCTCTGAATTCTGTTGAATAACAGCTGAGTTCTGTTGGTACAAACTCCAGTAGATTTTTGAATAAAGAAGAATTGTTGTAATCATTGATGTGAAAAAACAGGTTGAAAATATAAAACCCACTTTGTCAGGACTAACAATACTGAAGCACATGACAGGGAAAATCCAAAGTAGAATGCAGACAACAAAGCAACGTCTGGCTGTGACAATGATGTCATAATTGAAAGGTGCCCAGACAAGAGCAATTGAACGGTCCACAGCAACAGCAGCTAATGTCAGTACAGAGGTGTTTGCTAAAGTGCAGTAAACGGTGAAGAAGCTCGCCCTTGTGTGTATCTGGGTTGGATCTGAAGTATGGTAATTCAAAATGAAATGAATAGCTAAAAAGCTATTTGCCAGAACATCAGTCATCGCTAAAGAAAATATAAAAATATTCTGCTTTTTCCATAATCTTTGTGTGGTGGCAATGATAAATGTGACAATGAAATTTACAAATGCTACCAAAATTGAAAATGGAACAATGATCAATATAAGTTCATTTACATGCAGACTTCTTCCGTTGATAGCAGTGATGTTTAAATCAGAGGTGTTCATTCTGGCTTCAAAGTGTTCTTTGAGGTAGACGTTGCTGGTGTTTTCTTACTTTCCTCCAATCTTTTCTCCTGTCATGTTTACTTTGCGACATCAGCAATATACTAATAATCTTTCTTTATTGTAGTTTGATATCCCATTCTTTCCAAATCATACAGTACATGTGGTAGCTGAGTGCAATAATAGTAGATTTTTATTATGTAAAATTTCAATATTAAGTTAATACTCATTATCACTATTTTTAGTGTCCATTGAAGAATTGATGTATATACACAACATGGTGTCATATTATATACATGTTTGAAATAAGAAACAACCTCACAGTATCTCATTTCAAATGTATATATATTACAGTAGCTCATATGGGGAAACATAATACTGGTGTTTGCCATTAATTCAATCTGATATTGTCATTGTACAAAATTTAAGCTTCCTTTCAATATTGTAAACATAATTTGTATGTAACTTAATAAGAGTTGACTCAGATTTTGTATTTAAGAATACGTACATGACTCTATGTGTTCATTTCCAATGTGTTAATAGGTAGTTTATGGAGTAATTGTCTTCTAATCTAATACGCCATCTTCAATTATTCATATTAATTGTTGCTTGTTCAACGTTGATCAAGTTATTTTGTGTCATAAATTCATTGGTTTGACAAACATCCAAAATACAAGACTCAAAAAACCTGAGTTGGTTTGGTTTGGTTTGGTTTGGTGTAGAAAAAAGTCACTGAGGTATAAGAGGTATTGACATGGGAGGTGGGGGAAGAGGGGAGACTGATAAGTGTAAAGGTTAAATAAAGTGGGGGCATAGGCTAGATTTTAGTGAGATAGTGTTATCTGGCAAATTAAGGTGAATTGAAGTGATTAATAATTTCGTTTAATTTCTTTTGCTTAGTAAACATAAGAGAATATTAGTAACAGCATACTGCATCCACAACTTAGTGTTAAAAACAATTTTTTTTATTACCATTACCAATCTCCAAGACATTTAATTTTAGCTGTATTTTGATCATTTAAACAACATACACAGTGACAATGTACAACAGTAAAAAGTTACAGAGTTATATTTATACTGACTAATTACTTAGAACTCCCAACAAAAGTCTGAAATGACATTTTCTTTCTGTTAAGTTCCTCATACAAAAAGAAGATTATACACAAAAGTACATGTTAATAATAATATATATATTTTTTTTTAATATAAAAAAGTCCATGCTAACTGGTAGTGCAAGAGGTAGCAGGAGGCTTAAACGCTCTCCCTGTAAAGGGTCAAATCCTGCCCAGACAGCTACGACCACTTGGACAAAATCAAATTTACATTTTTTATATTTTTAATAATCCTTTGTGCATATGCTATCTAAAACACATTTTAATATCAACACTACACATTTACAAGTCGCATATTGTTATTATTATATTAAATATACAATAGTATTATTAGTTGTCCATTCCGTGGCAAAACTATGTAACTGAAAATTTTCACTTTTTCAAAAAAAACAGAGTTTAAGTTTGCATGTTTGCAACTTGGCAATAAACTTTTTGCATGACTATGTACCTATAGACAGCATAATTATATGTAAAAGTTTAATTACAACCGTTGGTGTATTGCAAAGTTATTAACGATAATTACAGATACGTTGTTTTATTTAGAAACATGTCATGGGTGGTATTGTCTAAGATAATTGATATTAAAACACCATCAACAGGTTGATTTTGCTGTGCCAAGGCCTAGAAAGGCTTATCGTTATGAAATACCAAGGCATTGACTTATAAATTGACTGAAAAGAGAAGGCAATATCAAAATAATTTATAAAATGTTTGCAATAGTATTTAAACAAATGTCTACCCGGAGGATAGGCCTACCGTAAACTTCATCAACAACAATCAATTAATCATCTTAATTGATATTAAAACACCATCAACAAGTTGATTTTGCTGTGCCAAGGCCTAGAAAGGCTTATGGTTATGAAATACCAAGGCATTGACTTATAAATGGACTGAAAACAGAAGACAACGTCAAAATAATTTATAAAATGTTTGCAATAGTATTTAAACAAATGTCTACCCGGAGGATAGGCCTCCTTAACTTCATCAACAACAATCAATTCATTATCTTAATTGTATTATGGTGAAGAGCTGTGAACAATGTTAGTGCATGTACTACTACATGTACAGTTAATATATTTGGGAGTTTTCGATGCACGACGTTAACTTTAACGTTAGTATCCAACGTGCAGCGCGATAGCTCCGCCCCTTTTGTAAACAAATCAAAATATGCATGCGCAAACCCGTAACTAACGAACGTTGAGCACGTAAAAACCTGAAATTAACGTACTCCGCAATGCAAGATGAATGAATTATGACATCATCTGTTAAAGGTAACGTTAACGTCGTGCATCGAAAACTCCTTATTAATCACTGAGCAACTGACCACTGCAGCATGGCAATTTGACTTAATATATAGCCTATAATATAAAACAGGGTGATTGACTTATAAAGCAATTATAGTCAAGTTATTTTGGACCCCATTGAAAATAGAAGCTTAGGAGTCAGTATTTCTTTCAAAAATTTCAGATGGGGGCATCCTGTTCAGGGCCGGATCCAGTGTGGTGAAAGTGAGGGGACTGATTGAGATAATACTATCCTAGGGTGATCCGTGAAATTGTTGTTCTAGACAGCTGAAAATAACCTCTGAGTCATTTTGGGCGATCATATTTTTCTTTTTCTTCCTTTTTTTTTTTTTTTCTTTTTTACCTTCCAAAAGGGTAGGGGGTGGAAGGCGGGCCTTGACCTCCCAAAATCCGCCCCTGTTTTTAAAAATGGTTTCAAATGTTAAACAATATCATTGCTGAAATAAACAGTTATTTTATTCCCTAGGTGAATCTTCCATAGTAATTTAGTGGTGTGCTCATTGGAACTATCTGTGTGTGATTTATAAGAAATCAAGTTATAGTTTTTAATTATTTTGAGCTGACAAGGAGCTAAACACTAATGATGTGAATTAAGAATTTACACATCACCTACATAAGTTTAAATTTGCAAAAACACATTGAAAGAAAATGGTCATTTTATTGAATATTTGTGATGATTTTGGATTATCAAACTAAAAATCAGCTTAAATTCATCATTCACCAATTTTTGCTTAAGTAAAATTTATCCATATTGTTTAGCTTAAAAATTGCTTATAATTAGAAAGTTGATTGTACGTTGGCACCATCTAAGATGATTTTTAAGCATACATTTTGCTAAGATTTGGTAATGAATCAACTTAAGATATTTATTACTTACATTTTACTTTCTAAACTTAAGACATTTGGTAAAGGCTGAGATTGATAAATCCCAGGCCAGACTGTATGTACCATAATCTGATGCTATTCACAAAAGCTTAATTATTTCGACTAAATATTCTTAAATACTAATCTTATTCTATGTTTTACAGTTTTTGAGTGTAACGTTTAGTTACCTTGTTTATTTACATCTTTTAAATTGTTTTTCCATGACTCCTTATACTTCAAACTGCTTGTACAAACATAAAATTTGGTAATAAATCAACTTATGATATTTATTAGGGACAGTTTAAATTTTTTAACTTAAGACATTTGCTAAGCTGAGATTGATAAATCCCATGCTAGAGCTATATGTACCATAATCTGATGCTATTCATAAAAGCTTAATTATTTTAAATAAATATTCTTTAATACTAATCTTATTCTATGTTTTACAGTTTTTGGGTGTAATGTGTAGTTCCCTTGTTTATTTACATTTTTAAATTGTTTTTCCATGATTCCTTACTTCCAAACTGCTTGTAAAAACATAAAATTTATGACTTCTTTTAAGCTGGTCCACTTGGAGTGATAACATTTACAGGCACTACCCATCGTTGAAAAAAGGTGAGGACAGCAGATCTGAATTCACTTAGTCTTAACCAGTATATGATGGGGTTGGCCAATGAGTTCAATGTGGATATATTCATAAAGATAGATAAAATAGTTAAACAGTTCTTAGAATTGCCACATTCACCAGCTGTGAAAATAACATTTTGAACAGAAATTGGCAGCCAGCAGATAACGAACGCTCCTATGATGATCAGGAATGTCTTCAAAAGTTTCTTAGATCGTTTACACTCCTCTGGATTTTGTTGAAGAACAGCAGAATTCGATTTATTCAGACATTGGAAAATTTTGATGTAAAGACAGCTGATTAGAAGTAAGGAAAGATAAAAAGAGATTGAGAATAACATGGTCATGTGCTGTACGCCAATCAAAGAGTATGTGATAAATGGAATGATCCACAGCATAATGCAGACAATAATGCAACGTCTGACTGTAATTATGCAGTCATAGTTGAAAGGTTTCCAGACCAGAGCAATAAAACGATCCATAGCCACTGCAGCTAAAGTCAACATAGAGGTACTTGAAAATGCTACATATATCCATATAACTTCTCCATGATTACCATGACTTTCGTAGTGAATGTTTTCCTTTGTAGATTTTTCAAATACACCTAGACACATACCTAAATTACCTAAAATATCAGTCATTACCAAAGAAAAGATGAAGATATTTTGTTTTTTCCATAATTTTTTTGATGTAGCAAAGATTACCATAACAATAAAGTTAAGAATAATTGCAAATGCTGAAACAGCTGTAGCACTGTAAAATATTAATCCAAATGCATAATTTTTAAAAGACATATGTTGATTTGTTGTGTTATTCATTTCCTCTCGATCCTGAGACAAGTTGGAAATGAATAAAAAATTTCTTCACAAAGCTGATAGTCTGGGTTTTTCAGATGTGTAGAAAGTTCCTTCTGTAATTACCTTAAGGATAAAGAAAATATGAGGAGTCAATGCAATACTATACAATACCGTACAAATAAAATTAAATCACAATAATATTGATTTCAAATAAAGATAAAATTTATTTTGTGTGTTCCTGTGTTAAAACGTTCCAAAAGAATGAAAAAAATGTTTGACATGAGTGGCCGGAAGCGCAGTGCAACTAAAAGATGTAATACCATGCAGAATAACCCCAAAATTGGAACAGGGGTGTTACAATGCAAAGTTGGCTGCCAAAAAACTGCCTACCTGACACATAATTAAAGATGGGAAGGGTGGGTGGGTGAACTACTTCAAACAACGATTGAAGATGAAACGCCGCTATCAACAGGGACGTATGCAGGGGAGGGGGAGCCGTGGGAGCCGCAGCTTCCCCCTTTGTACATAGTGTTAACAATTTAAAGCTTGTTCTTGCTATCCAATACAATTCTTTCCAAGGATCACTCAAAATAAATACTTCTAACATATGTAAATATGCATCACACATGTTACACATATGCCTACTATAATAACACATAGGCCCAAGATTATTGTCGCGTTTTTTCTCGTGTGAGTGAAGATCGAGCTGGTGATCCAAACAATTCAAATTAGTTATGGTTCAATTCAAATTAATTTCAATTCAGAAAATATATAATGTCTATAGAGAGGGAATGGAAAGAGGGTGTTTAACTAATCCCTGGCTGAGTTACATTTTCTTGCAATTCACAGTCACAGTTCACAGTTTTCTTGCAAACTTTCAGTCGGGAATGCTCATTTCCCGCCAAAATTTGCTCAGAGGATGACCCCTGACCCCTTTTTATTGTTGGGTTCATTAATTCATGGAAAAAAGAATATGTATGCATCATATGTATACTGGTACACACATAATAGGCCTATTTACTGTAATAAGGATGAGATAAATTTACATGACCTTCTCAAGGGGGAAAACCTTGAATGTTGAAGAACTTAAGTCATTAAAAGACACTTCAGAAGTCTGGAAAGCTCATTTCCTGCTAATTAGAAATCCACGTGTTCCTGGGGAGACCCGGCCGAACCCGCCTTTCTCTTTGGGGTTCATTGATTCATGGAATCGTTTTCAAGAGGGGAAAATCCTTGAATTTTGAAGAACTTAAAAGTTATTAAAAGGACATGTCAGAAGTCAGAAAAGCTCATTTCCCGCCTTCTGAAAATCAAAATTTTTCCGGGGGAGAACCTCTGGACCTTCCTGTCCCTTTGGGGTTTATCAATTCATGGGAAAAAAAAATATGCATGCAACACCCAAACAAAAGCATGGATCCAGGGCGGGAAAGACCAAAACAAAGGCATAGTTCCAGAGTGGTAGGGAAAGGGGGTGGAGATGAGAATGGCCAAAAATAAAGTATAGTTCCAGTAGGGTGGGAAAATTGGGATGGGGGCGACCATAAACCAGAGACATGTTCCAGAAGGCGGGAAATGGTGGGGCTGCTTAGCTTCACTTTTGGAGAAAAATAGAGTTGAAATTTGCATGTATGTAACTTCGCAATAAATTGTCGTAGCCTTTTAAAATTTTGCAGGATTGTATATCTATAGACTTTGTGATTATATGTAAAATTTTAATTACAACCATTTGTTTATTGCCAAGTTATTAGCGATAATTACAGATACGTTGTTTGGCCACGTAAACATGTCAGGCTCGGTGTTGTTGCAAGTGTGACATATTTTTGAAATTTATCGTGTTCGGGGCAATCATATGCATTACCTAGCTTGTTCATATATCGCTGTTTAAGATTATTGATATAAAAACACCAATAACCATTTGATTTTGCCTTGCCAAACTCCATCGGTTCTAGACCATTTTTTAAAAGCATTCCGTGGCAAAACAACAGTGAATATATCCTTTATTCCCTAATAGAGCAGGAGCCCAGGGGTGTCAGCATAGCTGGAAAGTTAACTAATTTTTGTGTATATAGTAATGTTCTATGTGCCTGTCTATGTAGGAGAATGGGCATCTGCCGGTCCCATTGTGGTGGGTTTGGTCAGGAGGGGCATAAAAAGGGCTCCAAAAATTGAGCTAGATCAACTTGTGAATAAACCCAATGAAACCTATCAGAATATAATGTGAAGTTACTGTAGTATTCCTTACAATAAGATTAACAATTCAAGCTTATAATTAATTTCATATAGCCCGAGTGAGTTTTAACTTAGGCAACCCTTCCTAAAAAGGTACACTTTCTTCATCAAAAGGCTTCTACGGATGGAATAACCTGTTC